ACGCCGAACTGCCGTTAATTCAAAAGTGAAAGTAAAATGAGCACGGCGCTTTTAACCTATTTAAAAGCGAAGGAAAGCGAGGAAAAGAGGGAACGCCCCGCCCCCGCGGTGATACCGGTATTGTCACACGTCGATTAACCGGTGGGAAAATTTCCCCACTGTCACAACCCTAGTAATGATCTCACAGGTCAAAGATGCATTGAGATAAAACAGCTCGATCAAACCCTCAAATCACATATTGCATAGAAGTAGAGTATTGTGGTATTGTAAATAACTACAATATAAAAGTTTTATGACATTGTTATGACAAGTCTTATGAATTGTTACTTTCTGGTTGAGTTACAAAAAATTATTTGTAAAAAAAATAATAGACAATTATACACACACACACACACATATATATATATATATATTTTTTTTTTTTTTTTTAAAATATTTAGTCTCAGTAATAATTTTTTTTTTTTTTTTTACCAATAATACATTTAAAATGTACAGTATATCAAATATGAGGCATGTTTACATAAAATAAAACAAATAAACAGTTTTCCATCTTTTTTTATGTTATGCTTTGATGCCTGATTTCACTTTAAGAAAAATTGGAAATCTTAAATTCATAAATAAATGCAAATAAAAATTAAGAATGCAACTGTATGCAATTATAATTAAAAACTTTAAACTTATTGTAACATTAATTACAATACTAATATTTGTGTCTTAAGTTTTTTTCATTTTCAACAGTTTAACTAATACTTATTTTGATGGAAAAGGGGCAGGAAGCCCTTAAAGCTTCTCTTTTGTTGATAAGCGCTTATAAATAGGGAAGAGGCATATGTTGTGTTCCCCAGTGCATATTAAAGCAACCTAAACTCAGAGCAGATGCAAAGATGGAGTATGTGTGGAGCAGTATTTCCAGCAAATCATCGCTGCGATGCTTAAGTATCATAACCTTTAACCCTTTTAAGTAATATCACAATCTCGGTTTTATTCCAGTTAATTGTGCAGCCCTACCCCAAAATCATGTGAGGGCGAGTTCGAACACCACTAACATTTTCTTCCAAAATTATAACTATAACTTCCAAAAAAACAAACAAATAAAAAAAAAACTGGATGCAAGTAGATTTATCTGAAAACTTTCTCAAAGACTGTCCACCCCTGGATCACAGCAAACACCTCTAAGCAGACACTAATTTGAAATTGTATAACAGAGGAATTCTCAGTATTGTAAAAGTCTTCCACAGAGAACAAGCCTGTATTGAGAGCAGCTGGGTGTCTGTATGATCCTCGGAGTATCTCCGGGCCTTTTCTGACTGAGAGACAACAGTCGCCATTATGTATCAGGCACTGCACTAGCTGGTGATGCTATCTGTGTCCTACCAAGCGGCTGACCAACTCCCATTACCTGACCATCCTCCTCACACTTTCATACCTGACACATGGCCACTGTTACACAGGAGAAATGCCAGCACTGGCCTAAAAAAGCCACCAGTGGACGAAAACAGACTGTTTGTGTACCTACAATCTCCAGATGCAAAGAACCTTCTATATACAGGTGCATCTCAATAAATTAGAATGTCGTGGAAAAGTTCATTTATGGAAGCGCTGAATAAACAGGCTGGTTTCGGGTTCATCTGAGCCTGATCAGACACGTTCCTTCTAGGGATGTGCAAAACGACATATTTTCAAAACAGACTAGTTGCTCAGTTGCCTGAACTGGTTTCAAGTTTACCTGACCCCGATTTACAGATGCAACTTTTCCGAGAAGGTTTTACAGTGCACACCGTCAAACATCTAAAGCACAGTGACTTCAAACAAAGTTTTTTTAAAACTAGTCTGCCTTACTAATCAACTAGACGGTTGTTGGGTAACTAATCCAATTCAGTGCCACAATAAACACCTACGCTTCTGTTCGAAAGTTTGAGGTTTCTGGAGCAGCCATCATAATATAGACACCAGGTAAAGTCCAATTAAACTTATACTTACTAATGCGCACAGTCAATTAGTTGATATTCGTTGGAGCGCTCATAACATGCCTTAATGCCTTCATCATCCCAGAGCTTCTTCGCATGATCGAAAAACTCCTGTGGAGAATACAAACATCTTTAAAACAACAATTTCTTACAAATGTAGAGCATTTACATGCCAAAATTATTGAATTTCAGTAGCATTAGCAATCATTTTTAGAACTATTGCCTCTTCACTTCATTTAAGATATATTTCTTGAACTGATACCACTAGATACTTGCAGCTACATTCATAAAATGTGTTTTGGTTAAAAGCCTTTTGGCTGTTCTGGAAATAGACTGACGGATCACACCGGCCCGCCGCTGCTCCGAGCACATCTCATCATGCAAGCATTCAAATGCTAGTTTCTTTTACCACTTGTTTGCAACTTTACATAATGTACTGAAATATGAATTCTTTTTTTTAGCTTTATTAGCTTTTACAGTCATGTACTTCTCAAAAGTTATGACCAAATATTATTTTAAAAATAAAATCTATTTCTCAAACTGCTGTTTTAGAAAAAAGGTACAAAGCGGTCAATGGGGCGGTACCCTAAGGTACAAAAACTAAATTGTACATCTTTGTGTCGTTTTTACTCCTAAACAGTAAATATCCAAGATGCAGATGAGTTTGTTTCTTCAGAAATTTAGCATTACCTCACTTGTTCATCAATGATTCTTCTGCAGTGAATGGGTGCCGTCAGAATGAGAGTCCAAACAG